ATACAAAATCTTGTTACATTTTACAGAGATTTAGGTTTACCAAAACATAGGTATTTTTGTTTGTTACATACCTAAACAGCTATAACTGTACCCACTTATTATTCTAATGGAAACGTCAATATGGGTATCAAAATAACTTAGTCATGATAATGGCTTAGAAAGATGTCCTTTTAAATTATTCGTGTGGTTTAATCTCTGCTTGGGCTGATTGTGCACTTTCAAGGGTAGAGAGGACTTTATTTTAACCTAAATTCAAACAGATGATGCTTTTACTGTGAAGATCCCATGGTTGTCTCCCTTCTTGCTTTCCAAAGAAACAAGCTATTTTGGGTAGTATATGACATGATTAGCATACTCATATTTCAAAATTCATTGTATATGAGGTATGTGCGTGGTATTAAACTTCCATGTGAGTGGGTATTATTAATTGTTGAGAACCTAGGAAGCATGAATTTGGACACGAGGGTTGTCTCCAATATGATACACGAACATGGGGATATGACAATGTTAAAAAATGTTGAACACGAGTACGGCAAGGATATGATTAACTAAAATAATATCATATGTTTTGTAGACAATAAAAGAATTGTAATATATTAAAAACAAAACATTTTTTAGCAATATCAGTAATAATTAATAAGATCTATCAAATATTAATTTTTTTTATTAAAATTACAATAGATCAAAATAAACATCTATTATTTTCATCAAACATCATTACATCTACGAATGTCAATGGACCGAAGCGGAGGCGGAGGATAGTCTTCATCCCCATACCTGCTTAAAAAACTTTCATCCATCTCCGGTCCACCCCCACTAACGGGTATAATTTTCATCCCCATCTCCGTTCACGGGTAAATATATAATCCTCATCCCTGTCCCCACTTCCCCTGTACCTGTCTAAGTCCAAGCCCAAGCTCAAGCCAGCATAATCCAAAATTCTAAACAAATTCAACATTTTAAATAATCCAACAATATTCTAAATAATCAAATATAATCTAACACAATATAATGTAACATAACATATTCAAACATAACACAAACAACAAATGTCCAAAATATTACTTAAATTTGATATAATTCAACATTACACAACATAACACAAATAACATAATGGATAGTAGAATTATCTCAATAAACAATCATCTATTAACACCAGCTTCACACCAACTCAATCATCACTTAACACCATCGGTGGTGGTAGAATCTACTTCTTCAATATCGTTTTCCTATATCATTAAAAGAAACAAAAATTAGTTTCTTCCAAAGAGAAATTTTCACCTAAAACGATATTAGTTGCTTTCATCCGGTGTTGCGGAAGTTTGAGGAGTTGACATATTATTTTTCACTTCTCCTCCTTCCATTGCTAGTAATCAACTACATGTAAAAATTAATTAAGCAGAACCANGTTTTCCTATATCATTAAAAGAAACAAAAATTAGTTTCTTCCAAAGAGAAATTTTCGCCTAAAACGATATTAGTTGCTTTCATCCGGTGTTGCGGAAGTTTGAGGAGTTGACATATTATTTTTTACTTCTCCTCCTTCCATTGCTAGTAATCAACTACATGTAAAAATTAATTAAGCAGAACCAAACTATAATAAAACAATCATCAGCAAACCATACACTAGAAACAATAACCTAATCAATAGCTAGTTAACTAGAAACCAAATTTGTTTGTTACAGAAAACAAGCAAATATTTTAACACTAACAATTTTTTCAACATAGGCAAAGTCATAAGAATTAGCTATTCCTACTTAATCAACTAAGCAATATAAATAATCAAACAAAAACGAGCAAACAAAGCAATCTAGCAATTAAATAGCTCAAGAATACAATTGGAAGAGCTACTTTGGTGTCCGTTAGAATTGAATAGAATTGAATTTGGATAAAACTGAGCACTGAACATAATCAGGTCATAATGCCTTTCAGAATCAGCTAAGAAGACCATAATGCCCTAGGTTTGACTTATAAAAGAGAAGCAGCAAAAGGACTCTCCACAAAGGAAGTTCAAGATTTTTAGAGTAGTCCTATTCACCATCTCTGTAATTGTATATGCAGTTACATTCACTAGTCCTCTAAAAAACTTACTGAAAAAATAAGTGTTAGGCAATAAAAAGATGAAAATTTAAAATGAACCCCAAGGGAAAAAAAAATCAAAAAAGGTCTTTGAGCTGATGATGAAGAGCAAGAACAATTTGCTATGATCAGAAATAAAGATTAAAAATATATATATATATATATATATATTTATTTATTTATTTATTTATTTATTTATTTATATTTAACGGGTAACGGGAGNAGGGAAAAAAAAATCAAAAAAGGTCTTTGAGCTGATGATGAAGAGCAAGAACAATTTGCTATGATCAGAAATAAAGATTAAAAATATATATATATATATATATATTTATTTATTTATTTATATTTAACGGGTAACGGGGGTGGGGCGGGAATGGGGTGCGGGTAAGGGTAAATCCATTCCCGCCTTCATCCCCGCACGGGTTTATACGGGTATATCCGTAAACGTTTATCGTTTAATACGTATAGTCCATTCTTGGTCCAAACAGGACGGGTTTGGACGAATATCTGTTTTTTTCTGGTCCACTGTCATCCCTAATTACATCCATTAACATTCATAGTCTATATGTTGCATAACGAAAAATAAAAAATTTTTGGTGCTTCCTTGTCACCCCTTTGGACACTTGCACGACACCCCTCCGACAAGTATCTGTGCTTCTTAGTCTTTTTTTTTTTTATTTGGGATGGGAATGGGGATGGGACTTGAAACTTTGATCTCAAGAAGACAAAGTTTTCGCAAGGCAAAGGAGTACCAAGAACTGTTCTGAATTGGAAAACATGTTCTCAGAAATAGTAAATATTTTCGTGCAGGCATAAGACTCTATGAAGCTTGTGATACCCTTGTTAGGAAAATTCTTTGGATTCGGCATTAGACAAAAACTTCAGTATTAGAAACATTACTAAAGTTTGGGAATTCTGAAATCAGTTTTTGACTGACTGGAGCAGCCATCCCTCCCCTATCACTTGAAGGCAGGACAAACTTTTATTGTGTAAATCCACTCAATAGGTACCGGTGATTAAGCAAATGTTTTGGGAACATAGCTCAANTTGGGAATTCTGAAATCAGTTTTTGACTGACTGGAGCAGCCATCCCTCCCCTATCACTTGAAGGCAGGACAAACTTTTATTGTGTAAATCCACTCAATAGGTACCGGTGATTAAGCAAATGTTTTGGGAACATTATACAAATGTTGATCATGGATATGAAGTGCCAAAAAGTTTGGGCTAGATTGAGTCTATTGTTAATTGTACGTGGCTGGGATTTCTTTTACTGTTAGATCAATTATTCTTGGTTGGGATAAGTGATAAGCAAATCATGAAAGAATGAGTTTAGAAATCCTGTAATCTTTGCCCTTTTAAGCATGTACATGCTGAAGTGGGACTTTGTCATTGTTTTGAGCACTATAAGGCATAGGCATGCTTCGCGTAGTCTGGGAAACATGCTGAACATGTGTAGATGATGCCAAAATTTTTTCCTAAGAGCAACTAAACCCAATCTGTGGAACAGTTTGTAAAATAAGTTCTGTGAACCATTTTCAATGACTATTTCTAAGATGAGCTTATGACTGAAAGAAAAGTGAATACAAAGATTTGATTTTACATTGTTTAATATGCTCAACCTTGGAGATATTATTACGTTCTTTTAAAAAATTACTAATTTGAGGAGATTTTAAAGAAGGAAGAGGGAAGGGTGGAGAGAAGCAGAATGAGGGAGGTATATGAAGCATGGAATGCAGATGCGATACAATGTGGATATGCCAACATGAGAAGAAAAATAGGATATACTTGACAAGGACATGCCAACGAAGTATATGTATCTTTTTCTTTATAAGATATAAATTAGAGTCATTATGTTATGTTCTCTCTATGGCTTTCAAGAATTTAGAAGTGCCTGAATTGTAACAACAAGCATTGCAATGTCGCCATGTATATCTGTGTGTGTGTATACTACGTAGACGTGGTTATGTGCTCGTGTTTCTTTTGCTTTTGAATATGATTTGGACTTCTCTAACATTGTGTAAATTATCAAGATTTCTCTTTTAGTAATGAAGTTCGCAATGAGCATTTTAGTTTGGCCCTTGTCAATTGAGAATACCAGGAGAGGAGAGTGGGATTAGGTATTCGTGTAACTTAGCATTATTTGGACAAAATGTTTGTCCTCATATTTGAGCCCATAAGGTTGCGGTCATTGGCCTAATTTTCTTTGTCATGTAACTGGTATTGTGGTGTCAATTACAAAGTTGGCTTGGAATCAACCAAATTAATTTACCAACAATGCCTTGCATGTGTTAGCCAAGGTGGATTATTAGTGGTCTGATACAGCCCTACCTTTGTATTTCGGCAGGCTTTGTCTATGTCCTGCTTTGTTTCTGCTTTCTCTGAGTACTGATGTCTTGTTGCTCAATACAAGTAAAGAAATTCCAAATAGTTCTATGGAAGGTTTTGGTGTTTGGGCTCTAAAGTCCTAACAATAACCACATGGACACTCTTAACTACCCAAATCTGATTTGGCCATCGTGCTTTACATTGATAAGCTTCTACTAACCATAGCCCATAGATGTTAATCCTGCCTACCAGTTATTGGGACTCCTAAGTCTGTTGTATTTATGCAGACTGGCTAGGTTTATAAATGAGGCAAAATCCTGATGGTTGAGAACTTTGTAGTAGCTTTTATAATATGAGTTCTCAATTATAACAGTCATGTGCAACCTTTAGTAATGTCTATTCTCTTGCAATAGATTGATTTCCTGAATGTTTGTAAATTGCCTTCCATCTATACTATATTTTTGGTGGTTGAAATTTCAACTCTGTTTAATTGCCTTCCATCTATACTAAATTTTTGGTGGTTGCAATTTCAACTCTGTTTAAGTAGCAGCTTACAGTAGTGAATATTTGAAATGGGCCATTGGTTTGGTTTTGCGCAGATGGTGTTTTTCAAATCTTGATGATAGCACTGCAGAGGATGGTTGCTATAGTCTCATAATGGGGGCTGGAGAAACTGGAAATTTCAAGATGTTGGAACCTGGCAAACCTCCACCAGCAAAGAAAGTTCGAAAGGAGCGAAATCGGGGCAAATTTTCTGAAATTTCTTGCTCAACTGAAACTATGGAGCAACAGATATGGAAGGAATTTCCAGAAGATCTTTTTGAAGCTGTCATTGCAAGACTTCCTATCGCCACTTTCTTCCGTTTCCGTTCAGTTTGCCGGAAGTGGAATTCCTTGCTGACTACTCAGAGTTTCTCTCAACAATGTGAACAGATCCCACAAGCCCAACTCTGGTTTTATACCATTACACATGAAAATGTCAATACTGGAGCCATGTATGACCCTAAATTAAAGAAATGGCACCACCCTACTGTTCCTGCTTTGCCAACAAAGTTAATTGTCTTGCCAGTGGCTTCAGCTGGGGGTCTTGTATGTTTTCTTGACATTGGACATAGGAGCTTCTATGTGTCCAACCCTCTTACCAAGTCTTTCAAAGAGTTGCCAGCTAGGTCAGTGAAGGTCTGGTCCCGTATAGCTGTTGGGATGATTCTGAATGGGAATTCAACTTGTGAGGGCTATGCCATCCTTTGGGTTGGTTGCGATGGAGAGTATGAAGTTTATGACTCCACAAAGAACTCGTGGACCCGTCCAGGCAGCATGCCCTCAAACATTAGGCTACCAATGGCTCTGAACTTTAGGTCGCAAGCAGTGTCCATTGGTACTATACTTTATTTCATGCGTTCAGACCCTGATGGAATTGTATCCTATGACATGGTAACTGGGGTCTGGAAGCAGTTTATTATCCCGGCTCCTCTGCATCTAAGAGACCATACACTTGCAGAGTGTGGGGGGCGGATCATGCTTGTGGGGCTGCTTACAAAGAATGCTGCCACATGCGTGTGCATATGGGAGTTGCAGAAGATGACTCTTTTGTGGAAGGAGGTTGACAGAATGCCAAACATCTGGTGCTTGGAGTTTTACGGAAAGCACGTTAGGATGACTTGCTTGGGTAACAAAGGTTTACTTTTGTTGTCGTTGAGATCAAGACAAATGAATCGACTGGTCACCTATAATGTAACAAGCAGGGAATGGTTAAAGGTTCCTGGCTGTGTATTGCCACGTGGGAGAAAGCGGCAGTGGATTGCATGTGGCACTGCATTTCATCCCTGTCTGACTGCAGTGGCTTGATTTTCCATTTGCTTGAGATCCTGGTAGCGTTGGCATGTTAGGCACCAGGTCAGTTTTCATATGGATTCTATCGTCAGTTGGGCTGGAGACAGTGTTGCGACCGCTGTCTTCAGCCTAATTTCTTGCGATGATATGGGTAAAACGATCCTATGGGGATTAAGATATTACATTTGTTCTTGTATAAACATCTTAATGTCGACTCTGGTTCAGAAGACATTCTAAAATGCTATTTTTGAATCAGCTGGCAAGAATGTTTTGGACTTCGTTCTGTTCAAAGCAGAAAAAACTGTATGTCTTTGGTGGGAAATATGCTTTTTACAACATTCTGGGAAGGGTTTTCGTTTGCAAGTCTTTTCCCTTAAATGGGCCAATTATATCTTGTGGGACATAAGAGTAATACCATCTGCTTTCATTTTTCTTGTTTTTTTTGTTCAATAGTAAAAGGTGTCCGGACTAGTTTACATGTATTTTTACTAATTTCTTGCTCGGTCTGGTCAAAGACAAATCATCTACGTTGGGATTAGGATATTTATGAGGGATAAATATCTCATAACTTCTTCCCAATAGATTGTCAAAATTTGATCTCTAGTCGTCTGAGTTTATAGCTCGTTCCTCTTATTACTTGAGTTATCCATTGAAACTTTATTTTTCTTGTCAGAGATGATAACTGAAATTTTTTTATCCAGCATTATCTCCTACTATGGAATTCGAATTCTAATATCTGTTTTGTGATCGTCCCCCCTCCTTATGACGGGGCAAAGGCACTGCTGAGCAGTTTGTTTTGCAGACTTAACTTTTGCTGTTGAAATATTTAGGTTAAAATTTTGTATTCCCTCTGGAGGGGGGGTATACTCTCCCGGTGAGGAACAATTAGTGTTGTCGACATTTCTCAGAATTGCTGGATGCTAGAAACCGAATGTTCTCTTAGAGAATGATCAACATTATTCTAGTCTCTGATTGCCTAACACCTTTTCTGATACGTATACTCACATAGGAGCGCACCCACCCTACGGGTCCGGCGTTTTAATCAGTTCAATAGTTTACAGTACAATACGAGAAACACCGGATAACGATGGGCATATTTTGCACCAATTTTGACCATATTACATATGCATGTGTGTCTATCTGCACAAGAATTTTGAGATGACCCTGAAAAGTAGTTACTTTATTTGAAGTTTCTGAGCTCTCCACAACAAAAAGAAAACCCTGATCTAGTAAAGTTTCTCTCAATTTCTACATCTGGGCTATTGGGTCAACAACACATTACACAAAGCAACCAACAGCTGTATTTCAAATATAGATTGTAGTATGATTAAGCCATGCCTCCACTTGTCGCTGTCCTGATTATCTGAAATAGTGCTGTCACAAAGACAAGAAAACAACAATCAGTGAACTATCATAAATACTTCTCTAGGTTACTACAGACTTTCAACAGAACATGAGGAAAATTTGCAAGTATGAGGAAGTTTTGAACTGTAGAATTGATAATGAAATGCAACAAAATTTAACCAAGAGGATCATGCATGAAGTTGTCGAAGCTATCTAAAATGTCGATGCCCCACTGTATCTAAAGTTTAAGCTAACAGAGAACGGTAAAACTCGATTTATATGCATATCTTTAGCACATGCAGTGGTCGGGCCAAATTAGGTCAAGACCTCCTGTTTGGATACTCGTTAACAATTAAATTTGTCTGAAAACTACAGGTACTGCTTTTATTTATATCTTCAACACTCTAAGAACCCTTGCATGCATTCTGGAAACGGTAGCTTGTGCGCTCTTCTTGCCTCCCGACTGTTCTTCCAATCCTATTCAGTCTAATTAGATATGTCATTGAAACGAAACAAAATGATTCCTTTTGGTCTGGCTGCTGGATTTTTGTGTCCAATGAACTATAATAGAGGTTGAAGGAAGAAAATTTTGATGAACATGATATGAATAGTAACAATAAGGCAATTGGAAGAAAAGCAAGCATATCTTACATGATCCGATGACGACAAAAACAAAGAACCCTAGCAAAATAGGGCCAACAGGATATTTACTCCCCTTTTTGGTGGTTGTTTCGGGGACAGTTCCTCGCTTGGTAATGTTCTTCTCAAACTTCTCCACCTTCCTATCCGCAAGACGCCTTGATGTTGTCTGAATTCACAAACAAATAATGCAGTTCCAATCTAATTATGCCTAACCAAACCAAGAGTTCAAATTATGCAACCCAAATGATAGCCTAGTGGAGACAAGGATAAGCCGTAAATCTATATACCCCGAGTTCAAAACTCTACAATTTTCTTAGGCCAGACAACATGAGATAAATCCTCTAATCCCAGCATACATGACCGGACAAAAACAGGGAGAAACTTCATCGAGGTGCGCCAGACCGGGACAGCCCTCACCATAATACTTAAAAAAAAAAAAGTGTTCAAATCATGCACAAGAATGGTCACAATTATATTTTATATCTACTAAAATTGAATCAACCACAAGTTAAAATTGCATTACATATAACGCTACGCAAATAAATTGGGAACTTTGTTTCTTCGTTTATCGGGGAATTTGGAATTAATTGAACAACGAAAAGGATTGTATGATCAAACATAATTGATTTATATAAGAACCAAAACCATTCGGGGAAAAAAAAATCAATTTCTAAGCCATATCGCATGTCGATGCGTTGTGCAATGTGAGTAAAATCCTGTGGAATAATGGTGGAGTCCAGATCGTGAGAGGGCATATCAGATCTACGGATGAAATTTTCTGAAAGAGAAAGAGTAGAACATGAAGATTACCATGGTTACGGGCAGATCCGATAGGCAGAAATGGTTGGAACACAGAAACGCCGGAGAAATTCAAGGTAATTCTCTCTCCTCCGCACAAAATTCTGTTTCTGAGAGCTACCGATTCTCCAACCGCCACAGATATATGTGGAGAGTGGGTTTTTGCATAAAGGCCACGTAGCATACGTCACAAACTTGCTCACTATTGGTTGCAACACGTAAGTCATGGACACGTCGCGCGATGATTGGGTATCAAAATAGTTAAATACATTTGGCGTCCAAACGTTTGCAATTCAATGTGAAGCTAGCAAAATGTCGAGGATAAAACTGTATTTTCAAATTTATTTATAAAATGTTGTCAAAAGCCTATATAACGAAAGTTTAATAAAAGTTAATAGATCCCACTGATCTAACAATTTATATTAATTTAGAGTACAAAATTTAAGAAAAAATTGATTACTTAGGTTTACTTATTTATTTATTTAGTTATTATTGATCAATCACATTAAATAACATAGGATTACTCAAATGATTAATATTTGAATTAATAGGATTACTTAGGTTCGCTTATTTATTTATTTTGTTATTATTGGTCGATCACACTAGATAATGACATAATATAATTGTTGAATTAAATATTTATTTGTGAATTACGTATCCAATATGGAGTTTGGCAAGGTAAACCACCGGTTAAATTGGGATAGTTCGCATTTTGTAGAGGGATATATTTGTTTTTGTTTATGTTTTTTTAGACCCAATCAATTCTAATCATCTATAATATAAAACAGGGGTATTCAGACAAGTTTACTTAGAATCATACACAAACCACTAACATCGGTTTAACCTACTTCAACAGTAAGGAGTATTCAGACCAGTTTACGCACACATCAACTAATTTTCTCTCAAGTCTGATTAAAGACAAATTATCTTGTAAGACCCCACGTTCTTATTTGTTTATAGACCCGTAATTATTTTTGAAATGCTAATATATGTAATGAGATATGCATGAACTATGTAAAGGATAAGAATAAAAATAAAAAAAATGTTAGTGAAGATAATAGGGTATGTTGTAGAAAGTTGGAAGTATTTCGGAGTGAAATCATATTTTAGAGATAGTTTGGGTAAGATGAATTTTTTGACACTGCCTTAGTGTTTGGATTATAACTTTTTATTTTGGTATCCATTTGACCTGAAATTTTGATAGTAGACTCTAAACTTTCAGGGCTACAAAATAGTATTTCACAAATATTTTTTAAATCGACCTCTAAATAGGTCAAAACTCCATTGAAAATTTCAACAGAAACTGGGAGGACGTTCAAACGTGAATGGATTCACATTCGAACGACAGTAAGTCTCAGTACTTTGATGTCTGCAGAGCTCTGATGAAAATATAAAAGTACTGGGAGTAATTAATGTTCAAACGTCAAGTGACATTCAAACGTGAATCAATAATTTGTACTATTGACATTCGAACGCCAAAGTGACATTCAAATGTGAGTTACGAAGTCTAGGTTTCAGAATCAAGCATAGAAGACCATTTCTTCTCCTATAAATACATAAGAGCGCCTCCTTTAGCCTCCATACACCATTTACAACCCTAAAAAGCCTTGAGAAACAAGAAAGAAGGGTATAACACACAAGATCAAGAGGGATTTGCACTTTGAAGTGGATCAAAATCTCAAGTTTTTCAAGAACACTAAGGAAGAAGAAGGTATGGATTTGCTTCCACTCTTGTTCATTGATGCTAGAATTTATATATATATATATATATATATATATATATATATATATATATATATATATATATATATATATATTTTTAAATCTTAATCATATATATTTGTTATGAAATCCTTGATTGTTGATATTCTTGCAACTATTACCATGTTTTGAGTGAAGTTATAGTTGATGGCCATAAAACCTTTATTCTTGATGTCAAAACCTAATTTTTGAGAAAGATTAAATATTCTTCTTGATATTCTTGTGCTTTGATTCAAAAACTTTAGTGCTTTATTTTGAACAATAAAAATATGTCTTTTGATAATCTCTTGCTTATTTTCTTAAGAAGTTATATTGGCAAAATACCTATGAAATTACTTGTGATTTGAAAAATACCTATAGAATTGAGAGTTTTTGATTTACTGGTGATTTGAGAAATTGGTTGATATTGTATTTCTTGCATCTTGTATGGTTTGTTGTGATGGACTTGAATTGCATTCGAGAACTGTCGTAGAGTGTTAGAGGTTAGTCTATCCTAGTGGGGGTGAGATGGTTGCCTAACACTTGTAGTGGATTGTTGTTTGTGAGAACAACCACTATTCTTCACGTAAGTTCGAAGTTGAGAGATGATATGCCTTTCCTTGGAAGGATTCGTCAATGTCGTGGGAGACGGTATGCGCATTTTCTAAAGTGGTTTGTGTGGTTATGATGGGTGAACAATTTATAATCGTTGTGTAGATTCATGGGAAGCAATCAACATACATGAGAATATGTGATGATGCTATTGAATGATTAATTGATTTCTTTACATGTTTATTCCTTTCATTTAACTTATTGCTATTGCGTTAACTTGAGATCGAATAAATTGTCACTGTTTTATTTCAAGTTATATATAGTATTTTGGAAAGTAAGACGAANATTCCTTTCATTTAACTTATTGCTATTGCGTTAACTTGAGATCGAATAAATTGTCATTGTTTTATTTCAAGTTATATATAGTATTTTGGAAATTAAGACGGANTCCTTTCATTTA